ATTTACTTTACCTTCAGCCTGAGGCTTATTCATTTCACTTTTGGTGTGAAAAGGCTTTTACATTTGCCAAAAATATAACTTTTTTATTTGAAAAACAAACAAGCAAGCCCTGTCCAGATTTAAAAAGTCACGCAAAAGTAACGTAACGCATTACTTTCCATAAAAAGTAACTAAGTAACGTAATTAGTTACTTTTTTATGGAGTAACGCAATATTGTAATGCATTACTTTTAAAAGTAACTTTCCCCAACACTGGTTATGTGTCCTTAGAAAACTAGCTTATAGGATGGAAAATGTACGTAAATAGAATATTTCCACTTCACATAACACACTGTAAGCAGTGACAACACACTTACATGACATGTGTGCGGTGCTCTTGGCATAAAAAAGGAAAATACCGGTATATTCCATAACCACCGAGAAATAGCAAGATTAGCACACCCATGCAAGCATACACACAAACACATAGGTTTCCTAGGGATCCTGTGGTCAGAAAGACTGGTTAAAAATAGACGGTGGAATTCTGGGATGGTAGAAGCATACCTCGGCCTTCCCACCTGCTCCCGTCTACTCCTGCCTGGAATGTGAGCGTGTATGTGAGTGTAAGAGAATTCCTATTAGCAGGGCCAAAACTCTAGTTTCAAAATGTCAGCAGCAACAGTCACAGTGAGAAAACTCTTTTTGTCTCTCTCTCTCTCTCACTCTCTCTGTCATATAGCGCTTTCAGTTGACATTGGTAGAATTCTAGTAACCTAAACAGTTTTGCACTCCTCGGAGACGAAGAAGTGAGAAGGCATGAGGAGAAAGCTGTGTCTGTGTGTGTTGGATATGTGGAGGGAAATGCTTTATCCATGAGCCAAACTTTGGCTGGAGAAAGAGAGAGAAGGGTGGAGAGCTGAAAAAGTCCTTTATCTAAAACCATGTTTTAAAACAAAAAACATGAAAACCAAAGTTTTGTTATATCTGTGTTTTATATCTGGTTGCCACATGCACAGAATATGCAAACATAACCTCTATGAAAGGAGCTTTTGGACTAGTTGATGAATAAACTGCTGTATATGTGTTTTTTAAAACACACTCTGTTATTGTAGAACAGATATATTTTCCATAAAATCTTTAGACAGATTGTTTGAGGTGGTATACAATTTAAGGAATTAAGCACCAGTCTACTTATAGCATAGCGATTGTTTACTTACCATTTACAGTCTATAGATGGCAGCATTGTCAAGGGATAAACCTAACAATGCGCTATGAAGGCCTACATTACCTTTCAAAGATTTGGGGTCAGTCATTTTTTAAAGAAATTAATACTTTTATTCAGCAAGGACACATTCGATTGTTCGAGAGTGACGGTAAAAAAATTTTTTTACATTGCTACAAAAGATTTCTATTTCAAATAAATGCTGTTCTTTTGAACATTCTATTCATCATGAAAAAAATCTATCATGGTATCAAGCAGCACAACTGCGTTCTAACATTGATAATAATAAGAAATGTTACTCGAATACTAAATCAGTATATTAGAATGATT